AAAGTTTGTTTGACAAACTGGAGAAGATAACTACCTGCAAGAAGCTATGCAATCTACTGTTACGGACATCAAGGGAAAAAAACAAATACATTTTGCGGATACAGTAAATAGATGGCGAGAGCAATAGCACGTGCATGGAAGGGGAAGGGAAGAAATGGTTCCCGCTCACAGAAGTCTTTATGATGCAAAACATGAAGCAGCAGATTGGGCTCAACAACAATTGGAGCAAGTGTACCTGAGTCTGAGCGGCATTTGCATTAATGTACTGCCAGTCGATGTTCAGCTAAACTCAGTTCCAACTAAAAACAATTTGTAAAAAATACTTGCATATGAGAGAAGCCACAGAAGAAGGATGCTTCTCAAACTTGGACATCCAACAGCTGTTCAAGTGCGCCCGACTGGTTGTGCCTCAATTAGACCATTATCAGGAGTTTGCATTTCTTGGATTGCTGTTGACTTATCTTCATCGTGCGGAATGCCTTCTTGACTCCTTGACCATCTAGCTCACTCGACTTGACCCGAACCTCAAGAAATATTCTGAAGAGCTTGTGTACCATCAAGCGCCTCGGATGGTGAGATAGGTCTTCCATCTCGATGGCCTCTGAAAGACCTCAGTTGGCGACTTGGTGATCTTTGTAATCATGTCTGTGCGTCAACTGACTCGTATGGACTCTTTGCTCAGAGAAGCACGGTCCTGAAAGCCTCAAGAACTGCAACAACAAGGATCAAACAAAAATATTACAGTATGGCTTTGGACAAAGTAATTCCGATTCTTTGGCGCACACAAAGCGCCTAGAGGCAGTTCGCAAAGGAGCCAATGGCGATGCTCTGCCTTTTGAAATGAGTGCTTGGCACGATTGGCAAAACCAAAACACAAAAACAAACAATGCAAACAGTTTTGAGAAAATAGCAACTGAATAGCCCAACTGCCTCCGGGAGAGGGTGAACGGCTGTCTCTCCTCGTTGTGGTTTTGAATATGGGCCGCAACTATACACTTGATGCTGGTCCAGCCAAAGTGCCTCCCCGCTGTTCTTGGACTCTTTGTCAGAGTCTTTTCTGAATGAACCCTTCCAAGTCCTGAAAAGAAACAAACACTTAACGTGTCAACTCAAGAAAAAACTGTTCTCATACACATGAACACAATATGAGAGATGCGCCTTCACCATGTACCTGGATCTCAAATGGTCATAAATTGTCACTCAATGTCACTCGGAAATGTTGACAGTCGTCACATCATCATTCCCCACAACTGTAACCTCTCAGAGCTCTGCAGGCGCCGTGTCTGCTCTCTGGCGCCCCTGTAGAACGGTGCATATCGGCAAAAGGATGGCTTTGACATGACCAAGAAAGCATGCCACGGAATGAAAGCTAGTGTTGAGAACGCTAAGAGCTTGGTGTGGTGTGTTGTCAAGGAAGGGCTGCAAGGCTGTAGTTACAGGGACCTGTCATCTGTGCAATGTTTAGAAGAGATGAAGGGAGACAAGGCTAGGCCAAGGGAGATCGAGGGGAGCAAAGTACTGACAAGTGAGGGCAAAACCTCCTTTGTTTCTCTTTATTTCGGTTCTGTTTTGACCGAATTCTCAACCGTCATCCTGGGACTTCGTTTGTCAAAACAAATCGATGTCAAAGCCATGCTTTTTTCGTCTCATGCTAGGCAGGTCTCAGCGGAGGTAGCTGTTACTGTAGTTGCTTGAGCAGCTGAAATAATCTTGAAAATAAGTATGCATATTACCCTAGATTTCACAGCAAACAAATTGCGAAGCAAGCGCTAGTGACTGCAAGTGGGAGTTTCTCATATCCTGCCATCCAACCTTGGGCAACCAACCGACTCCCACAAGCACATTTGAGCGTCTACCCAAACGTCCTGTCAAGAAGAGGACATGATTCAGCAAGGCTATCGTTTTTGAGGAGACCTATCGCTTTTCCAGGCCTAGCGACAATTTCAACATAGCTGAACATATCCAAAAACTGCGGCGACATGGTTATCGCTTTTGAGGTGTGCTATCACGTCTTGCAAGTTTTAGCCAAACTCCTAAAATTCAAAGCCGCTTCTACTAGATTGGTTATCGCACGGTTTGCTGGTTCGAATTTTATGGCTTCCTTTTCCACCCTGCTGTGGCTGGCATAGAATGCCTTGGTAAGTAGCGAACGCACTCACGTAATTCCGCAACATCAGGCCTGAACCTACTCATGCATACCCAGGGGGAGAGATTCTTTTCACGTTGCAATGAGTGCGTTTGGTGGTGTCTTGGGTATGTTCTGTTGGAGCTGTACTGAGACCAGAGTCTTTCCTTCTATATATGGGTAATCTGTCAGAACTCACGGAAACACCTTGAAGAGGAGGATGCCAGTAGTCGTGAGAGTGTTTGCTGCACTTTTGGGTCCTTCTCGAGCAAAGTTCCAGCGACAGCATTGTGTTTGTGTTGTTGGGACAGTGGGCTGCTAATTGTCTCAAATTTCAGCAGTTGCAAGCAGCTGGTACTTGAAGTTTTGCGTGCTTCAAAGCCAAGCTGCAGCTGGGTATGTCACGCTTCTCAACCTTAAGACGTTGAAAAAGTTCACGGATGAACTTGATTTTTATCCACAATCATCCTACTTAAGGCCAAGAAAAAAGGCTCGGTTCCACTGGCAAGGTTTGTGCCCAAGTGGCCTGTGGCACAACACGCACAACACCTAGAAACAGCTTCGCGTGGCTTTTGAGAACCAACTGCCCGCTGCTGAGTCACTGCTGTCCGAGCTTCGAAGTACGCCAGTACAATGTCTTCCAAACAAAGTCTTCCAGATCAAAAAATTGCTTCCACTGTCCCATACAGGCATCGGTTTCCTATAATTACAACTTTGAAATCAGGCGCCTTGTTGACCAAGTTTTTGACGAGAAGATTCCACCAACGAAAATTGTGTGTGTGTGTGGAAGAACAACAGCAGGATTTGCTTGCCAAGCTTTGAATTAGAATGGCAGCAAATCAGATTTGAAGAAGGTTAGATACAACATACTACAATGTGTTTGGATACTGTATTGATTTGGCCTGAGAAATAATGTAAAGTCACGATTAATAAACCTCCCATAGTTAATCCGAGCCCACAAAACCACCAAAAATTGCCCAAATTAAAAGTAGTATTGGTGGCTTATTCCCCCTCTAATGGTCTAGTTGGGTACCAGAACCCTCCCCAGTTAATCCATAATCCGAGCCCACCCAACTCATTGCTTCCTATATGGACTCTGGCCTCATGCTCATCAGCTCATCCCCTCAAAGCGTGGTATCATCCTTCATGGTCCTATGGTCTCATAACACATTATTCAGGGGAGGTGGACCTCATGAGTGGTATCTCATATACTTCTTGACCTTGTTGACCTACCAGGACCTACCATGTTGGGGGGGGGCGATTTATTAATCAGGTCTTGCCATTACATCTTAATGCTGTTCTGTTTACTGGACAAATTTTGATCGGGTGAAGGATGTTGCAAAAGTAGACCTGGAAGACTTAACATTCTCTCAGCCAAGTTGCGCGCGAATAACAAACGTGTTGACCAGGCAGGCCCGAGCGTAGCAGGCATGAAAGTGCGAGGGCGGTTTGAGTTGCTTTGTTGCTTTGAATTGGGCAAAGAAAACCGTAACTATGACTATAACTACATCCTTCTACCAGGGCCCTGAGGGCGTGGCAGCACCAGTGCGTCCAATTGATGTCGGAATGACTCTTGAAACCTCGGCTTGTCCAGCTTTCGCCTGGTTATAAAATGTGCCCCTCGCCCTTCCTACCGAGGTACGCTAGAACTTCCAAACGCCACAGATCCAACGGGTTGTGAAACACCTGATCACGGGTTGAAACCGTTAAGTAACGAGGAATCAAAATGATATCCGCAAAGGCAAGCACGAACTCGTCCTTGATTGCAAGCAGCTTGGGCCTGTTTGCACGGAGATGGACTTGCAGAGTGACGTACTCGAGATGTATGTGGCACATTCGTTCCCTGAGTACATGGCTGGGGATTGTGAGCGGCTGGCTATACCCTGTTAGCAAGCAAAACCAATCAGAGGCCACTGGTTCAAGACAAGTTTCACATCCTTCTGCCAGCTCTCAGTGCAAGATGAAACGAATTCCCACCCTTACATCTATTCCGAAACAACAATGTCGGTTGTGAACGCTAATCTCAAAATACACAGAAATGTTGTGTTTAGTGTGCGCATAAATACGACACCAATATGAATAATGAGGAGCATGGCATACAAAAAGAACTCAAGGCATTGGTCGACGACTGAAGACCGAAGCACCTCATTTTCCTTGGGGAAGCGAAGAATATATAAGAGACGTTGCAGAAAATAAATTGAGCATTCGACAGGCCGAGCTCTGCCAGACCTCCCAGCCGTGGTCGCTTTAATTTGGAACCTTTGCCTTTAACGTTTCAGATCTGTGCAGAATTTCAAAACACGTCTTGAAAGCGGTGTTCAAAACACCTGGGTGGCAAAGCCAGAAAATTTATACGAATGAACTCTTCTCAATCAAAAACACACCTGAGATATTGAACCTCAGCAAAATGCAAGTGCTCTACACACAAATGACAGGACTACTTGCCGAAACCAAAGGACGTGCGTTGAAAATCGGATTGTGTATGAACTAACCATTGGGCTTTGAGAATGCACAACAATGCGCAACATCCCAAGTTCTTTCCACGTCGTCATACCTGGCATGGTTTGTGGGGAGGGGGGAACGATCAGGGTTTAGATGGATAATGCCAGAGCGTGCAAATGCCTTGCGGCATGGGCTAGCGGGTCCTCGCAGAAAATTTCGAGGTTCACAAAAAGCGCTGCGCTTGCCGCGGAACCTGCACTTCCAGGCTTCCAATTACAAGACGTTGCATCCGCCTCAAAATCATACAAAATCTGTTCTTCGAGGTTCATAAAGCGCTGCACCTACCACGACATCTGCACTTCGAGGTTCACAAAGCACTGCCCCAGCCAATTCACAACGCACTGCGCCTCACGTGGACTCTGCACTTCCAAGTTCACAAAGCGTTGCGCCTCCCACAAAATCTACACATCCAATCTGCACATCGCTCAGCCAGCGCATTTCCCAACAAGAGCACTTCCAAAGACAAGTTTGAGATTCGCGAAGCTTTCGTGCAATTCGTCTCCGAAATTCAATAAACAAGCGACATGTCCAAAGTTCACGATTCCCTGCGCCACGCAGTAAGCACGTACCAAAACCACCACCAAGTCCAAAGCGCTGCGCCTGCCACGAAATTTGTCCATCGAAGAAGAACCGCTCCGATCTCTTGCACCTGCCACGAAAAGTCGACTTTGCAAAGCACGCGGTGTCCCTTGCGTCTGCCACAATAAGACCACTGACCACCAAGCCGAAAATAATGCGCACGGCACCGCAATGAGAGCGCAATCGCGAAGATCTCGAGAGGCATGAATGTAGCGTAAATAGCAGCAAAGCAGCCGCGCACGGATGTGAGCACCCTCGATCAAACCCAGCCTTAACAATTATTCAGAAGAACTAAAAACCCCTGACAACCCTAGTGTGACCACACTGTTTAGGAAGAACACAACGGGCATCGATGAATGTGCAAAAGCTGATATCAAAGTCAACCAAAGTCGGCACTGTCGACGAGCCAGTTGCAAAGCGCAAGAGCTGCCACCATCCGGTGCTTCAGCCTGGTCCGGTAAGTACACCTTACCTGCCCTGCCGAAGCACTCTTTCCCTCCACAATCTTGTAGTACAGTAGAAGGAGCGGGGCTGGCTCAACATGCAGGAAATATCCACAAAACATGTGGTTGGCTTTTGCCTTTCACGAGCAGGGATCTCGAAAGGGTGCAAAGAAAAGCAGCCCGAGAAAAAGTTGACAATGCGAGGTCATGGGTCTGCAGGAAATGAACTCTTCATCGCGATGGCGATGAAGCTCAGGGGCAAGGATTTCTGTGCAAGCTCAGCTTCTGATCGAGAAAAAGGGAGACTTGTGCAAAGGGACCATCTGAACAGTCCCTGACTGATCAGTGAATCAGTTAGACCAGTTCAAGACGCATCGCAGGGAAAGAGGGGCATCAAGCTGAAGTTGTTTCATTGCCTCTGTTCATCACTGGCCAAAATGTTCGAAAAGATGTTCCCTTCCCATGCAAATCGAATTGGATTTTTCTGACTATTCCCTGTCACAAAGGCTTCAAAGTGCCATCACATTTGTTCTTGAATGTGGAGGATCTCTCTCTCTCTCTCTCTCTGTGCCAAGACTCACAACTTTCACAGCGTTGACCAAGGCTAAAACCCAACAATGATAAGGATCGAACGCAAGGAAGTACTTGGCTTCGCAGAGTCCAAGGGACGAAGTGCACAGCACCAATGCTTACAGCACATGTCACTGCGCCGCCAGGCCGAAGACCAAGGCCACCGGACCCACGCCAGCACAAGGCGCGCATCCAAGCAAAGCACTCTGAGCAACAAACATGCAAGGAGCTCTTGAGTTTCCGCAGTGGAGTTCTGGCAGGTCTCTGGCCAAACACTGAAACACTGAAACTGGCAGGATGAATGGCCTTGTAATATCCTGCCTCAGTAAAACTTTGCCAAAAATTGTTCCGAGTCGAGACAATTTCGACATGTCGGCTCATGTGAATTAATTACTTTCACTTGTGAAGCTCAACACCGTATGTAATGCGAGGAAGTGTCCTTGGATCAAACTCCCGGACTTGCCTTGTGCCAGGTGTTGCTGTGATTCCCTGAGCTTTGGAGAAGAGTGATTCAGACACCGTAGTCGCACAAACAAGAAGTCTGCCTACCTGCAAAGCACGTCGAGACCGGCTCAATGGTGACCTGGGAAGAATCTGCGACTCACAAGACTTAGTTTCCTAATGTTTCCTAGATTCTAGTTCTAAGTGTAATCTCAGGGTGAGGCGCAGCGGCTCTTGCAGGCTGATTCTTAGCCACCCCTTGCAAGCACCAAGGTGCTCAAAATAACTCTACATTGCAACTGATGCCGCCCATCTAAAAAGTGCCTGTGGCTGAATTGGCTGAGCGGAGTGCAACCTCAAAGCAGATTTCTCAAACTGCCAGAAACTCTTTGACCCAAAAGGCAAATTGAAACATGAGAGTTTTGAAAATACAAGAAGAAAACACATATTGCTGTTGTTTTTAATGAATCGCTTTGATTAAAGGGTGCCTTCTCTTCCTTTTTTGACACCTTTGCTATTCTTTGGTGTGCTTGAAAGAAAAGACATTCATGTTGAGTCCAAAAACCTTAAACCGTTGTGTCTTTCGAGTTTGAGCTATACCGCTATACCATTCGTGTCTCTTCAGCCGGGCTGCACCACAAGGCACTGAATCTGCCAAATGCCCTCCTTGCAATGCAAAGGCAACAAAATTAGATCTGCATGCATCTCTGCTTCACTCTTGTCCTGTATTGGGCACCTAAAGTGCAGATCAGTACACAAAAACCTGATTTCTTAACTATCTTGGAGCTGCACACTCTGCAAATCCTGAAGCCATGTCAACATCTTGGAAGAAACTCTAAGGAGTCCAAGCCTGGTTGTTCAAGCGGTGCAACAGCCTTGACAAAAAGAAACTTGCAACAAAACAAAACCAAGAGCTCAATTGAGCTGAGTCACAATTCCTGTCCTTCCAGTTGGTGCAAAGTGACTGCAACCTGCGACTCAGAGCGTTCTTTCGTCAAGTTTCACGAGGAAGCACGAGATCGAAAAGGTTCCGTTGCGTGGTATCACTTGCCACAGTGTTGTTTGGTTTCATTAAATCAACACGACATTTTGATTAGCGGGCTGTTGCGTGCTGACATTCAAACAAAGCTCTTTCGATTGGGCTAATGCTTCGTTTTAAAGCAGTCAGTCGTGTTAAAGCTAATTCCTCAGCTTGGGCTTTGAATTCAAGCGAGTCTGGAACATGTCGCATGTCTCAAAGTGGAATTCACACTTGCAGGGCTCCCCTGCGACAAAGTCTTGCCAAGGTGGCAAAAAGGCATCATTTGTTGGACAGGCCCGCGCAGTGTGCAAAGGTTGCCCTCCTACAATCGAGAAAGTTCTTACCACGTACAGTATATGTTTACTGTTTACTGTGCTCTTTGTGCTCTTGCAGTGCGATCTCAACGCTGGAGGCTCATTCCATTGTCTCATTAGCTGCTATTAGGTCTTGAACTCTGCTGAATCCTGTTGAAGCCTTGCCGCCCGTATGGTCAAACTGTGCCCATTTACCGGCGAAGTGGTGCCTTCTCGCGGGACGTCATCGCACGACCGTTCTAACCGCTGTTGTCTCTGTCACCGTTTTACACAGATCGGTCCCGGTCGCGGTTGCTCCTGTGTAATACTTGGGAGGACAACAGGTCGCGCTCCTAGAGACGCCTACAGAGTCCTCCTAGGTGTCCAATCGCGCACGATGGTGGACCGAACTGAACTCTCCAATAAGATGGTCGGGCCTGGTCAGAGACACTTGAGTACGTGTAGAAGGCACTCAGCCAAGTATGCAAAGCATCGTGGCACTCATTCACCTGCAAATCATATCAGTTGGATCACTCGCTACTTGGGCTAGGCGGCTAGGCTCAGCGGCCTCCTTTTCTCTCACTCTTCGAAATTGTGACCCTGACCTAGCAGTGCTCAAGCTTCAGATTGCAGAAAAGTACAATGTAAGCGCAATGTTTGTTTGTGACATGTTTGTGGAGTTCTCAGGCGGCGACGTCAGGAATGGAGCAAGTTTCTTGGCCTCTAAGACAAGAAGTGACAAGCAGCAAAGCAGGCAACATGCAGTCAGTCAGGGCACGATGAACGGGCAAACGTAAGTGCGAAGAAAAATACAAGCAAGAATCTCAGAAGTCTCCAAAACAGAAATTGACATACATGAACGACAAAGAGCAATCATTGCACTCCAGCTCCTCTTCTGTGGAGAAAGGCGGCATGCTGCAGAGTTTCGAAGTAAAACTGCACGGGCTGGCTGTGTGCCAGGCTGCGGAGTCAAATGTGAAACAGAAGAACAATGAACAATTTCCGCACCATATCCGATCCAAACAGGTGGATCAAATAGGGTTGGGGCATCCGATCAAGTGTCGGGAGCAAGTCTGTGACAAACCCCTCGCAATACAGGTGTGGAGCAAAATGTTATGTTATGTTGTGTATAAAAAATATGCACGCAGCACGGTTGGGTATCAAAAACGGTGTGTTTGTGTGTGTGTGTCACCCTCTGTTTCCAAGAGTTCCTTTCCTTTTGAACAGGTGCAGGGGGCCACCGGCCGACAAGCAAACGCTGGCTAACAAAGCTATGCTTGCTCGGTGGATGCACAGTCTGATCAACTGTGTGTACATGCGACAAACTTTTGTACAAGCTGTGACTCCACTTTCCTTGGTTTGATTCATGGCTCTTTCACGATGCCTCCCCCCAAACCATTTTCCGTCAGCCGCTTTTCCGCTGCCGCGCGTCTGCAGACAAGTGAACACTTTGTTAAACTATCCAAGTGAACTGACTCCACCACCTTGCGGTTCCATCGTTCATTTCACTGAGGAACAGAGTTAACTGCAAACCCATTGTCTAAGTGTGTGCTGCTCTGCCGTCCCACTTGGGTGCAGGGTGTGATCTCCCGCAAGGGAGCGCCGAAACCTTCGTGAATCACATTTTGATTCGGCGTTATTCTGCACTCGTTGGATTATGGTCCTGGATTCCCTTGTCTCACCCAATGAATTTCCTGACTCATATGCTGCCGAGCCACGGTAACTTTCTCACAGCTTTTCATTGATCAAGTGCAAGTTCCATCACGCGCCAGCTTTCTCGAAGTTTTGACTTCCGACTTTACTACCAATTTCACAGCTTGACACGATTTTAGTCACAATTCATACACGAACCTTTTCAACTTACTTCCCCACCAACCATTTCAATCTGTTTTTCTCCAGCCAATTTCTGCCGCGCGCTGCATCTTGCGCCGCCGCCGCCGCTGGAGCCGCTGCCGAAGACAACAGTGAGTTGCACGATCAGCAGCACGCAATATCCCTGGCCATATCCATACCCACCACAACCTCAACCTCAGGCACTACCTATTCCTACCCACAGCAACCACCACCCTGCCACCCTGTTCCACAGACCACTTGGCCTCCACCGCCACCAACGACTTTTCCTCCTACGCTCCCACATCCAACGCCAACATTTCCAGTTTCGTACAGCTTTCCTACTGCAGCGCCACTTGTTCCTCAGCCACCTTTACCACAACCGTCCGCCACTGCTCCACCACAAACACCAACATCTCCAGCAACGCCTACCGCTACCAACAACCTACCACACTTACTTGGGACCCACACCAAGGCGTATGGAAACCACATCCCTTCTCAGCTTTCCCTGCAGTACAACAGTCTCAACCACCAGCCACCGCCCTGGCCGTCGGATCTTCTGCCGCGGACCTCAGCCAACCCACCAACCTCGAGCTCAGCACAGAACCGCTCATGCTTCCACTCCTGACGCCACCGCCTCTAAGGATCACCCTCACCCGACGACCCCAGCTCCCACTCACACTGATTCCCACCGCAACACAAGTCAAAACTTCTCAACAACCTCACCTTACCACGGCCACTGCCTCGGCCACACCGACCACGCCTCATGCCCCTCACAGCAGGCGACGCCATCATCGACATCGCGGTCACCACAGACACCACTGGAGAGGCCACTCAGACAGGCACTCCCATCACGCGCACACCAAATCGACCTCCCACCGGGCACCATCCACCTCCTATTCTTACCCTTCACTCCCGGAGCCGATCACGCTCCAACCGCGTGAAGCGGGCACTCGATATGGACTTCCACTCAACAAACTCAACAAATGCCCGCTGAAGTCCCTCCAGAACCTCGTCAGTGTGGGGGCTGCACTTGCCTGTTGACTGAGCCACAACGGCCAGCAGCCGCCCCACCCCGCTAACACGCAACACTTGTTTCGGCTCCACCGAGCCCTTTCCACTCTCATCCACCGCGCCACCTACATCGAACGAGCCGAGGCCATCTTTGCCACAGGCCTTATACACCTTACTCTCCTCTTCACCTATCCTTCCACCACGCACACACACCGTTCTGAACAGTGGCGAAAGCGCTTTCGCCAACTCCACGTCTTGCCCCACACATACCACTATCACAACTTCCTCTCCTCCAACTCTGTTTATGTCAAGTTGTATTTGCCATTGGCGTTCCACACAGAGAACACAATCGACGTGCCAAACTCAAGCAACTTCAACAAAACATCCCTATTTCAGCCGAACTCTCCCTTCGCTACGGGCATACTCACAGCACCATCGATCAGTACACCACTATCCAGCTTTCCTCCCATGACATGTACGATCAAGCCTGGATACATGAACACAACCACATCTCCAACTGGATGCCGCCCCTGAACTGGCCTTTCATTTCCCACCACCTTCAAGGCCCAAGCTTCGCAATTCACCAAACACCGAGCACACTTCTTCTCGCGGTTGGCCACACACAAACGTCTCTCCCGCCGGCTCAAGCGACACCAACAAACCACATGAGAACCCATCTTTTCACTTCTACCAAACACCACGCCCTCACCCTTCTCCGCAACCTGACCAAACGCACAGCAGACTCTTTTGAAGCCGCAAAACAATTGCGGAGCGGCCGGCGCTAGGAAGAGCGTTCTGGAGGTATATTTTTGGATGATCTTTCGTTACGTCGCGCTTGCAGGGCCACTAGGGAGAGCGTTTTGGAGGAGCTTTTGTGTTTTGGGGTGGTTGCTGCGTTGATTCTTGCTCGGCGGCAGGGCCACTGGGGAGAGCGTTTTGGAGGTGTATTTTTGGATGGCTTATGGCAACGCCGCAGTTGTATCGCCATTATGGGCCCCAAGGTAGACGAAGTTGGCCCCAAGATGGCTCCAACGCAGCTGTAAGACAGCCAACCTGGCGCCTAGATGGCTGCACTTGTCCCCAACCTGGCGCCTAGATGGCTACTTCCATTTCACTAACTTCGGCTGTTCGTGCGCGGTGTGGGCGGCTGTCGACGCGAAGCGTCTTGAATATTCAACAAGCCCTTCCAACTCGTCCAAGATGCGTTCCTGCTGTCGTCATAGGAAAGCCTACCTGCGCACGCTCTGGATCTTGTGACTGCACGGTGTAGGCCTTGGCTCTTCCATCTACCCCAACAGAGGGGGGGACATGGCCACGGATCGGACCCCTTCTGGCAACTCGCGCGGTCTCTTCCGGACCTCTGGTGGAGGCCTGCACTGGCTGGTCCATCAACGACGCGGAAAGGCTGTCGGCTAAGGCGAGCAAACGATGCATAGGCCCCACGCTGATCAGCCACTTTCAAACTTGCGAGAAAAAACTCAACGCACTGAATCTTCTCACGCGCTGAGTCGGGGATGAACGGGAAGCAGGGGCGTCTTCAAGGCCGGCGGTTTCATGGTGCGTCTTCCCGACTCGCCAGGGGCTCGTCAGTCTAGTGATCGAAGAGATCCTCTCAAAATGAATCTGAGCCCGAGCCACGAGTCCCAATCTCAAAGCTCGGCCAAGTCTGGCCAATGGAGTCCAACCACCTCGAGCCTGCCAAGTGTCGGACAGTCCAAGAGTCCAAGGCCTCAATCTCCTGTGGAGTGTCCGCAGCCAAGAGCGCCTCTTGCCAGGCGCGTGTCCTCGGTTGAAGCGGTGCTGGAGGTCCTGAAGGGGCTGCACCTGAGTAGCAGGCAACTGGCGCCGAACTGGTGGCCTCAATAAGGCCTGCAAAGGCACCGGATGCTGGGGGAGCTTCCACGACGCTAGCAGAGATGAGGCTTGCGAGATCTGTACTCTGAGCAGGTTCACCTGTCCGAGTCCCAGTGCGAGAAACAGTGATGGTCAGTCCACCGAGGGCCAAGGTGACCTCGTCCAGGTTGGACTCCAAGTTCATGCACGGTCCTCCCTATACTGTCTGAACCTCTGCCTAAGGCGCAACTCAGGTTGGTGGTCCTCCTCGAGAGTCCAGCAGTGATCAACAGCTGTATGCCTCTCCTGCACGAGGGAGAGACCCACAAAATCACCAAGGCACCACCACTGATGAAGCCTCCCAGAAAAGCCAGCAAGGCACTCAAAAACAGCAAGGACCACGTTGACCCACCACACATAGCTTGGGGCCACAAGTACCTGACTTCTCTGAGGAAGTCGAGGACCCAAGCGATTTGCATGCGCTCGGGCCAAATGTTTTCTTGAGCGCAAGAACTCAGCTCTGGTGGGCTAGTGATAAAAGACATATAGTATTCATCAATAAGTACTTCCCTAATTGAAAAAAGACTCGAGTGCGGAATGCTAGTTTGATTGGACATTGAATCCCAGCTTCTGCTTTTCCGTTTGGAAAATAATCCAACAACGTGCTATTCATTAGGGGGGGCTTCTTTCATTTCGGTGTTGCCAATTGTTGGTTTCAATTGTTCCTCTTCTGAGCTGTTATTGGGCGCAACACAATGTCGTAGAGGAAAAGTCGAAGATCTATCGGACCTATCGTTTTCTATGTTTGATATGAGTTTTGGTGATAAGGTGCATGTGGATGTAGAATCATTTACTCCGTGTATATAAAGGGTTTGAAGGCTTGACGTGATTGTGCTTTATCATAAGGTCCAGCACATGACAAAGAGTTTGATGCAAGTATTTTTTCAATCAAAAGCTTGCTCACGCCAAGAAGTGAAAGTCGTCGAACTGACTCGAACTGGAACCTGGAACCTGATTGAGCTCTGCCTGTGTGGGTCTCGGAATAATTTGCGCACTCCGCTGAGCATGGCTTCTGCGGTGAATGACGAAACCTGTTGGCAGCGTGATCGCACACAGAGTCCGGACAAGTACAGCATATACGTCCATGGACGACCTCCATCTTGAAGACAGCAAAGAGACATTGGAGAAGCCGCACTATGGGCTCCTGTAGCAAGCAAGCTGCCCTCAATTTCACCCAAGGCACCCTTGCCAAAAAACACTCGACATTAAAATCATTCGCAAGGATCATTCACACTACCTATATAGAAAAGGAGTGTGGTGGGATGCCCCTCCTGCAACTGCATTGCCAAGCCTGAAAATCTGTTGCAGCTGAGCTCATGAAACATATATGTTTCCCCGCCTGGTTCCCGAAAATGCTTTTCCAGGTAGGAACGAAGTTGAAACCTCAGTCTTGTTAAGGCAAAGGATGCAACCTGCTTCGATTCCCAAGCAACAAACACAGCGTGCGGTGAAAGTCGACGCAAATGAGATTCTGCTCGGCAAAGCTGGGACTTGAGCTCCTACGCAGAAAGGTCTTCTTTGCATCTTGACCTTCGCCTTTCAGTCCCTTCGCGGCCCTAAAACCACACTGGGTGTGTCTTTTATCAGCCTCATAGTCTACTCAAATCTCTTGCAGACAACTCGACATTGTGAGGCAGGTGAAACGGTCCCTTTAGGATGTGAGTAATGGAAAGCTGGCCCAACTTTGCAGTTTGGGTTGGACACACTGCAGACTTTGCTTGACAAATGCTGCTCGACTGCTTCGTTGCTGACTGCCTTTGTCGCTGTCCATCAGCTGTTCAGCTGCTGTTTGTTGACCATTACTAAATGTTTTTCTGGAGAGCGTTTTTCGCAGCAAGGGGTCGTCTGCGTCTTTGCTACTAGCTAGCTTAAGCTTACCACTTAGCTAATTTAGCTATTACATGCTACTACTGGCTACCACTTCCCCCCTCAATGAACACGACCTGCAATTTACTCTGGTGCACAGTTTACTCTTCTAGCTTTACACCGTTCTTTTGAGCTCCACAACATGTGTCCTTTCTCCGTGGTGAACGTTTGAGAGCTCAATGAGCTCAGGAACTTGAGCCCCTTTGACTTTGACTGTGGAACTTCTCTGAACTATCAAGATTGTCAGGATCAACTTCTCAGGCAAGCTTTCACGAGTCGAAATACAGAAGGCAGCACGAGACTCCAGTTTGAGGGCCTCGAACAAGCGAAGAGAGCCTCGTATGTGCTTTCAAAACAAAGCATTCGCAATTCACAACTCACTTGATGCTGTGGACGTGCTTCTCGAATCCGACCTGAGCAAAGTGTACAACCGCTCATTGGGCCATTGGGCAAAGTGACATGAACTCAACAAAGGATCCTGCCGCTTGGCTCGTGTGGGATCGTGTCCTGTCAAATGTCTAACCTTGGTGTAGCGGCATAGATCCACACAGGTTTGTCAGCAGCCAAAACTGAGATCTGAGGCTGTGTTGTGCACAAATTCCTCTGTCATAGCTGCTATTGCGGCCACCTGCAAGGAGAGCATCAGAACCACGCAATGTGTCTTTTCTGGTTTGAGCACGTACCCTTTAATTAACCCTAAATTTGGCAAGATGTCCCCTTCTTTTGTGTATTTGTTTTTTCCATTTGGATCACAAGCCTGCCACTTTTCCCCACTGTGGCAGCGCGACAAGACTTTTGCTCTTGGACGTTGAATGGACAACCTCGTAAGTGTAATGCTTTCCTCGTGACCAAAAAGGTAAGCGCGTTTGTGGTAGAAATACTCAACTGCCGTGAACATGTTTGAGACTCAAAAAAAAAGGTTCGATGTTTGGTGTGGCACAAGGCCTCCCGCTCAATGAGTCCAAACTTGTGGTCCAACTTGTCAAGGCGATTGGCCAAAGTTCCCATGTTCACCTCACAATAGAGAGCCGTTTAAAAAATAGAACACCGCCAACAAAGTCCATCCACTTTTTTCCAAACACACCACTCTTTCGTGCCTCCACTTGAGCTATATCTCGTCGTTTGCCTCCACCAACAAGCCTCAATGGCTCATCAACACATATCATCATTGCATCCACGTCTGAATCTAAGCCCAGGACTCTCTGCATGCATTTTCCTTGAAGGTTTCAACCGCAACTCAACATGAATGGTGCGCATCTTGCTGTACAGCTCAACGAATGTGAATCACATTGCCGTTAAAACGTATATACAATTTTTCCTCAAACAGTTTACTGTTAGGGGTTCTCAGTTCTTTCTTAAGATGTGTCCGCCCTTTGTGTCGCTGGTGGTGTCCGCCCTTTTCCGCCATGTAGCACTTCTATTCATGGT